TGTGTAATTACACAATAAAAATTGAGCCAACAAGTGTCAAATCATTCTTTATTTCATATATAATTTTGATTTCTTATTGCTTCTAACTTTTCTATCTTGACATTTACATTTAGTTTTATTGTCTCGTTTGTTGTGAGAAGTTGTTGTTTAATATATTTGTGAATGATTTTGTTGCAAAGAGGCCAAAGAATTTATAGTATAGTTTTGCCTTTAATTGGTAAAAATACAGGTGGAGTGCAAAAATACTTTCAAAAATAGAATAACATTGAGCATACAAATCAGAACAGTGGGACGGTCTGTATATTTATAATTTTATTATTATTAGTATTTATATACTATTAAAATGCATGCATTTTGAAGAAAATGTGAATGAAATATTAACATAATTTTTGAAAAGAATTTTTAAAGGGAAGGAAAATTAAATGAAAACAAAAAATACCACTTTCTGTTGACGAATCAACGCATACTTTTATACCAGAAATCAGCGCAGTGGCAATCATTTGCACCGACATTTTTCTTCGTTTGATTAAATAACAGTACTTGTGTGGGTGCATTAATAAAGATGTTTGCTATTAATCGTGTTGCACAACTGCAACGCATTCAATACATATATTTTAGTAAAAATTTCAATTCATCGAAATATAAAACAAATTTTATTGCTTTCAAAAATTTGAAAAAATTTATTACGCCAAGTTGCTTCGCAGTTGCATACATAAATAGTAATAGAAATTTCGCAGCGGGTAAGCTAAGTGCATCACTAAAATAATAAAACTTTAGAAAAGTATTTGGGTTTTTCATTTTTTTTTGTGTTTATACAAAAATTATACAGTGAAAGTTTTTAACTTATATTTTGCTATTTTGATAAAAAAAAATTTACAATTTAGTAATAAATAATTTGTGTAACACTTAAAGTGAGTGTTGAGTGGCATAAAATTTAAACAAATTCAATTTTAACATTCGTGAATACATCCACAAATTTGGAATTTGATATAGCGCACCGTATAGTGAATTGATATACATATTTAGGAATAATGAAAACAATCAAAAATAAAAAATCATTTTGCTAGTTAAATATTTTATATTGTGATGATGTAATTTGCGCTTCTATTCAGCACAAAATATTCAGCTTGTATTTTCCAAGCCTTTGTGATCCGATCAACAACGTTAAATATTATTTTAGGTTGGTCGTGTTCTGTGCACTAATTTATCATTCATTACTCATGTATGTTACAAGACAAGTTTTCGTCCGCTTTATAGCCTATTATCCGCTCTAACAAGGCCGGCATATATTTTTTTTGTGATTATGTAGTTATCGCCAAAATTTTAGCGAAGCATCTTTCACTCAAGTTATAACGCTTAATTTATTTCTATTACTGAAAGTCAGATATCGCTTAATTTTAGAATCTGACTAATAGCTGTGTCTTAATTTTGAGTCCATTCTATGCATGTGTTTATTTTTGGGTTTTCTAATACTTCAACTCTGCAACTTGTGCGGTCGTATTCAGGTACTTAATGGTCTTAATCTTCATAAGGCACTCGTTTTGTCAGACCTGTGATATATAATAAACAATAGAAAGCATATAATATATAATAACAATAGATATAATAACAATATTAGCTGCATTCGTCAGTTTTTAAGTGTAGCAAAAAACAGCAAGTAACTCGCTTAAAGTTTCTAAAATGTACGCAAGACAACATCACTACGTTCTCTATCTAAGCGCCAGTTGTGAAATGGCCAAACATTTTAGCGACTGCAGAAAAAAATGTTACCAAACTAATAGTGATCTATTGTAAACCTTTATTGGAAATTTTAACGAATATTTAACGAATATCTGTCAAAATTTGTTAACAAAAATTCAAACAAAATTAGTGTTTCAGAAATTTGAAATTTGTGAAAATGAAATATTTTAAAAATATGCAAAATTGTGGAATATAAATATTTCAAAAATGTACACATAATTATATACAAAAATTTATAAGAGCACATGAAGTAGTATTGAAAAGTATGATTGAAAAGTTGCTAACAAGTTAATCCTTATAAAGGCATAAATATTCTAACATTGCTCTTAATTCATTATTCATTTTAATTTTCAATTTTATATTAATTATTTATTTCTTCTCAAAATGCTGTTTGCTTGTATTAAATGTAATGCCTTGTTTTCACTATGTCATTTTAAATGTCAATTATAATTGACTGGTGTGTCAAATGCGTTTTCATTACATGACAAGAATGCGAATATGACATCATATGACTATCCGTTTTCATTATACTGACAACATTTGACATTGAAAATGACATAGTGAAAACGAGGCATAAGTTCTGCTCTTTGCGAAAACAAAACATTTGACAGATTCCTTGTTAAGCGCCCGTGTTAAATGCTAACAAATGCACCTATTATTATGGCGTTTTTGATTAGTAAATCTGAATTCAATCTAGATTTACTCTCGGTCTGTCAATTTTTGTTGTCCAATAGAACACTTTAAGGATAATCTAACATTTATGTAGTATGTTTACTAAGTCATTTATATTTTTTAAAAATTCATATATCGAATCAGAGCACACTTTATCTGTTAAATCATATAACATAAAACTGCTCTTAATTTTAGCGTAATTCTGCTACTCAAACAAAATATCTAGAGTGTTATAAATTATTCTCGAGTTTTATACATTTTATCCCAGATTTACCAATTGAAATTAAAATCGTACTAAAAGTGGGTTAAAACAGCATCTCAACTTAAATTTTTGCCTCAGATTTACCAATCGAAAACGCCATTAGTTTTTATTTCATTTTGTACAAATAATTATTTTGTAGATGGAATTAATCAAGACTTTAGCGTTTCTTTTTGTCTTTTTCATGAAACAGTTGTATTATATAAAATAAAAATTAATTTATATATTTTTGATTTAGAGATATTCGCATGAAAAATTATTACATATGTTTAAAATAGTGAGACGATTATCGTTTAATGTCGAACCATAAAATTTGTGTAAAAAATAAATGTATAAGTATGTTTTAATTTAATAATATGTAATAATATTTGTTACCATTAATCTTTCATATAAAAAGTATATAAAAAATTATTATTTCATATTTTAGCCAATATATATATAAAATATTATAATAATTTATTATTATTAATGCAGCAACAGTAGCAGGTAGTTATGTTAAAGATATTTACTATCCTTGTATGCCTGTAGCAAATTCATCTATTATTCCTCGTGAAGTATTTGAAAAGAAAAAGTATGTGTAGTAATCACAAAAATTATGTTTTCAATACCTTTTCACTCAGAAATGTTCATTTAGTTAAACTGACTGTAAGAATCCACTATTTTACGAAAGAATACTGAAAAAATATGTTTATTAATTTGAATCGAGACAAAATATTAGCCTTAAAGCTAAATATGACAAAAGGTCTAATCAAGCTAATTACATATATGAAAATATATGAAATTAAATTTAAAATAAAGATTAACATTTAAATTGTATATCAAAAATTAGAGATCTGTTAGAGAAATCAGGATATATATTATATGTGGGATATGGGAAGCAAAAATTATGATTGCTGCAAGGAATAATGATCATGTTCATGACACATAAGTTTTCTTTACATAAGTATTCTCGAAAGTGTTTTGAAGATCTTATAAAAAGATCTTTTTTTAAAAAAAATCACTAATTAATAATGTAGAAACAATACAAATCAATAATTGAATAGGTATAAAAATATGTAGTTAGAAATGATTCTGTGTGTGTGTCTGAATCTTTCCGACAAAGGAAGGATTCTTCTTCAGAAAATTTAGCAAGAAATATACAGAATGGCATAACTTTACTGGCGAGAATGTGTCTATATTAAAACTATCTACTTTTTAAGAATTCCTAATTTCTTGGCAGTAAATTTAAATTGTGACAAAAGGTTTTACATTGATATCATTAATCCTAAGAGAGCATAAAAAATGTATACACGCAGTTTCGTTTGCGATTAGGTTGCACTCCATAAAAAACGAGAAGCTTTTGTTATTAATTAATTTCTTTTTAATGTTCCGCAAACTTTTTCAAATTAAACATTGATTTATATTTTCAGTAACGGATTTTCTAATTGCATGCGTCGACACACTTCAGTTGCCGTATATGTTGCTGCACATGTTTGTATACATGTATATAATAAATATGTGTATACATATGTTTATATACCACAAATTCATTTTGCACAGCAATATTTAAGTTTTGGAAAAATTTGTATATCTCTTTTATAATTTTGTTTGTAATTTCAATTAGATTTTGATAAAAATTTTTTAAAAATGTTAGTTTAATATTATTTATAAGATAGGAATTGACTAATATTTAGTCGGTTCTTTATGCTCCCGATTATGAAGAGACCTAACAATTAACATTATAACATAAACTCAGTTATTAATTTTAAACTCAGAATTATTTTGTTTAAGCAACAGAATTTTTTTTAAAGCAAAAGTTCGCGACTTTAAATCGAAAAGAAAATCGAAAAGAAAGTAATTTTTGAAATAGTTTTAGAAATATTTTTCAAATTCATAATGATTTTTAAAGTCTTTGTTAGGGTTTTTGCTGTCAGAGACGAAACCCATAAATTGGGGTTTTTTATGTATTATATTTTAAGGTAGGCAAAATGTTCATTTAGCAAATTCTGCCGATATTCTCAAAAGAAAAAAAATATTAATGGATTTATTTAAAATACCCATTTCATTTAGCTATTTATATTCTTTATAAATTTTAAAAATTCATAGATTCCCAAAATTGTCAGATTTATCATTTTGCATGAATTTTCTTTGAATCAACACAATTGAAAACTGTAAAGTTCTGTTGCAACGTAATCCTCCCAGAAGTTACAATTAAACTGAATATAATTATTTCATATTTTATTTATATTTTAATAAAATTATAAGTCCATTACGAACTTAAACACCAAAAATAAAATATCAAATAATGATTAATAGCTTTTAACTTTTTATTTAATTTTTTATTTGTTTTTATATATGCAGGAGTTATAAATTCGAAACTATAATATATATGTATAATAATCATCTCAGTTTGGTATAATTACATCTGTCTTACAGAAAATGACAATAAGTAATTGGAAGAATGTTTTAGTATACAAAGATTATACGTAATATTGAATCAATACCATATTTAACAAATACAATTTTTTTCAATGAGTAAGTTAAAAACATATGTAACAATATTCACACTAGAACATATTATTTAGCAACTCTGTTGGAAATGAGCGTTTGAGTCTTCTGGTATGAGCTGATTCTTTCGTCGGTAATATCTGGAGTTCCAAGTTTTCATGAGTAAGTAGTCGAGTTATGTGCTTTGCACTAGCCGTCTTTATCACCTCTGCTATTAGATCAACGCCTAAGTTTTTATGAATTTTGTTGTTTGGTATATACCAACCAACATGGACTATAATGTTTAATATTTTTGATTGTTGCCTTTGAATAATTTGAGTGTTGGATTTGGAGACAGTACTCCCAAGTTCAATGCCATATCGAATTAATGGCATAATTACCAGTTTATATAGTTTGGTAAATTGTATATGATCTTAGATTTTTTTTAACTTATTTTTTAACTTTGAGTTCACTTTTTAGCAAGATATTATTGCCGTACATATTGTTTTGTGTACACATTTTAGGCAACTTTAAGCAAAAAATTAAATCAAAAAATAATGAATTATAATGAATGAAAAGTTACAGAGATTGGAACGGTTTATAGCGCAGAGGGAAATAATAGGGCACTGTAGAGTTGTGAACTTATCTTGTTTTAGCTATAAGTGTTAATAAATTATTTAACTACAATGCAAGATTTTACCAAGTACCATTAGCATTTTTTTGTTAATATAAACAAGTATTTTAGTATATTAATACTAAAATATTGCAATTAATAATACTAAAGATTTGTATGATTGTATTGCATTATTCGAATAGTTTATATAGTAGTATATATTGTAGTATAGTAAAATATATGCATGTCATTTAGTTCGCAATTTTTCTCCTAATAAAAGAAGAAATACATGTTCTTACAATCACGTCTTTATGTTTAAAATGTTACAATAAAAGCACATTATTTATAGTCACAATAAAAACCGCTATAAATGTTATGAGATTTATCACAATATACTTTTTTTTCTTCTATTATCTACGTCTATAGATAAGGTTACTGATTATGTTCCCTCAACGATATAGAACATCAAGTTTTATATTTTAAAAAATACTAGTAATCTCTAAAAATTGTAATCTATATACTAGTATTTTATAAAAAATGTTTGTGGTTTGTGTTAATCCAAAACTTTAAAATTTTATATTTTAGACTCAGGAAAATTCAAACCAGCAAACACAACTAGCAACGCAGATAACTCTCTAATCAAAACAGCCAAAAAAATAAACAATTTAGAAAATATGGAAAATAAAAGTGAAAAAGTAGCAATCAACAAGGAGGAGCTTAAAAAGCGTCTAACACCTTTACAATATCAAGTTACCCAGGAAGCAGCCACTGAAAGACCTTTTACCGGTAACTGAAAAAAATATATATCTTTCGATTTTCATATAATTTTTTTATTTATTTAGGTTGCTATAATAAACACAACGAAAAAGGAGTCTATCAATGTATAGTTTGCCATCAGGACCTGTTCAGTTCTGATACCAAATACGATTCCGGCTGTGGCTGGCCTGCGTTCAACGATGTTCTAGATAAAGGCAAAATATCATTACACCGCGATGCAAGTATACCAGGTAAACTCATGTTTAAATAGCAAATATATTTGCTGCTTTTGTATACTGTTTAAAATTGCTTTTAGTTTTTTATAAATGTTATGAGAAGTTTGATAATCTTTTTGACTTTGGACTTTTTGTCCACCACAGTATCTTCTCGTTTTATGATACATAAATATACAGTGTATACTGGCTTAAAATTGGATTTGCTTAGCACTTGAGAATAAAAATTAATTAAAATTCGAATTTAAAAAAAAGTCAAAGTGAAACTGAAAAAAACTTAAAGGTTTTTATAAAAGTGCCTTTAAAAATCCTTACATTTTTCTAATATAGAAAAAAAATTCTTAAATACCTAAAAGTGTTTATGAAAAGAGTATTTTTTAATGCTTTTAATGCTAGTAAGCATAGTTGTTCTCCTTTTTCTGTATTCGAATATAATAGATGTGTAGAGATTGCATTTTATTAAACAACATATATACAATAGTTTGAAACTAGTAACCATAATTGCTCTTTGTTCAGAAAATTTTATTACATAAAATAATTTATAATTTATTACAATTTTGAATTTTTTAAAATCTTTTTAAATAAAGATAGATTTGTAAAGAAATAAACTTTTAATATTAAAATCGAAAATCATTCAGTATTGAATGAATGACTTTTTCTTTTCGACTATTTTAACCAAAACGAAAGTTTTTGAAATGAACTGTTAATCTTACACTGAATAGAATTGGCATAATTTAGATCAGGACTGTACTTTCGCGGGCCAATTCAAGTTACTGTTCAGATTTGAGGGCCGCAGAAACAAGTACATACGGCCATGGTTTGTTTTGGAGATACAGTGATAATGTTAAATGAATAAATTAATTAATTTGAATTTCTTTGGGACATGGTCCCAATAAAATAATTGTAATTTTACCAAATTTATCAAGAGAAAATTTACGTAGTTGTGGCCCGTGGACCTTGCCTTGAACAGCACTGATTTACATCATACACTTTCACACATTTTTAAACTAAATTTTACCTCAGTTTATTTTTCAGTGTATTGAAAGTATGTTAAATGTACGTAAAAATCTCTTTGATTGTAGTTATTTATTTTAAGCAGTATATGCTTTAAAATCTGAAAGCGCAAATCCAATTTTACTCGTGCAAAAATTATTTATATGAAAAATAGTTTTTAATTGAAATTTAACAAAACAAAAAAATTAAGCTTATGTTTTTTGATAAACACTCGTATGTGGCTGGAGAAATAATAAAAACTTAAAATATTTTTGGTATAGTAGATGCATTGTGTGACACTGAAGTTGATGTCCTTTATTATTTGCATTTATGTCACTTTTGTCCAATATCTTATTTTGCTTTGTTTGTTGCTTTTTAAAAAATGTTTAATTAAGGGATAATTGTAATGCATATTAACAATGGTCTTTCAAACATATCGACTGATGTATTCCATTTTTAGAAGACCTTCAGTAGTAGTGTTTTTATTAAGAAGTGGAAAGATTTGATATCTGAACATTACAATAATAGGTAATAGAACGCCACAGAAACTTATATTTCTGATTGATTGATATTTAGTTAATATTTAGGGAAATGACAATTGCAACTTTTTAATTTAAAATAATATCTTTAAATTTTAATATGTTAAATTATTTTATATCCATTACATGAAATAATCAATAAATAAAAGTAGATAATCAAGGTGGTACTGTAATACTAATACTGTACTGTAATAATAAAAATAGAAAGCTACATGGATTTGTTCATTAAAAATAATACTGTTCAATTAAGTGTAATCATCTCTGCAAGATAATTTAGTTTTTGCAAAAATGTTAGAGTGCGAAATGATTACATAGTTCGTTTTTATACAAACTATTCGTATTATTATAGTATTATACAACAAAATGCTACCACATTGGGATCATATGAAAGGTCTTATATGCTTATTTTCATAAAAAATCAAAACTATTTATAATAGTACATTTTATAATACATATAATAATACACTTATATTGATTTGTAGTTTTATGCAAAATTACAATAAATATATAATATATTGAATGCAATTGTATATTTCTATTCTTAACATATATATATATATATGATATATGATTGCGTTTAAATCACTAAATAATTAAATATTTTATAAAAAATGCAGTATATTGTATATTTCTTTAAATATGGTAAGTGTGAAATTTTGAATATTCCACCTTTTCAAAAATACTTTGCTTAGCTAAATTGGCTAGAACTACAACAGTATCCTTTTAAGTGGAAAATTCTATTTTCTTCAGCTTATTAAAAATAAATCTACTTACATCTGAAGTAATTTTTGAAAGACCTGATATAATCTTTAAATTTGCTTTTTTGTTGTATGATATATTTATATATTATATTAAATAATGAACGAAAATGAAATAAAAATACTAATTTGAATGCATTTTGTAGAGCGGAATAATTAGTCGACTTTATATGTAGTCTTTTTTAATGTTAATTGTTATATCTTTGCTATAATAAATCTCAGAATTTTCAATATTTGTAGTAAAATGCTGTTAGAACGTTAATTTGTGTTTTATTGTAAATACTGAATTTGCTACTAATAAATCCTCTTTTTCTTATTTTTTTTACATATAAATTATTGCTCTTTAACCACAAACCTAATAAATTCAAAATTGCATAATAAAATCGAAATCGAAAAATTTCAATTTTAAACGAAATCTTGAAAACAAAAACAAACAACCTTAAATTGTTATATTTATTATAATAAACAATAGTAGTTATTTCAAAAATGTTAGGCATGGTACGCACTGAAGTGCGATGTTCAAAGTGTTCAGCACATATGGGTCACGTATTCGATGACGGTCCACCGCCAAAGCATCTGCGATATTGTATCAATTCGGCTTCAATCGATTTCATACCAATGAAACCGTCCGCAGTGCAAACAAAAAAATAAGTTTGGTTATAGTAAATTTATTTGAATTTAAATTTTATTAAAAATATATATATGTATTTTGTTATTGTATAAATAATCAAAGAATATCGAATCCGTTTTTAACATTTGATTTTTGTGTACTATTTAAATGAGTTAAGTTGTTATAATAAAAT